CCCGCCTGGTCGCCCCGCAGCCCCCGTCCAGTTCCCAGTGCCAGGGTGCCGCCTGCCCCAGGAGTCCCAGGGGTCCCGGGGTCGGCTCCGTCCTGCCCGCAGGGCTTTCCCCGGGAACCCCTAATCCCCAGGGGCCCGGCTCTGCTCCGGTTTAAGAGGATCGCTGGAGCTTACGGTGAGCAGCTGGGAGAGCCGGGCAGCGGGCTCCATCCCGGGGACGCTGCGGGCCCCGGCAGCGTCGCTCCGGGGGGGATTTGCACACGTTGGGGTGCAGGAAGGCCCCGAGGGAGCGTTCAGCCAAACCTCATCCCCAAGACACGATTTTTCCCGGTGTCGCTCATCCCCAACTCATCCGAGAGCAAGGAGATGGGGATGGGACATCCAAAGCATTGTCCCCAGCGAGGGGAAACTGAGGCACGAGCCATGACAGGATCACCAGGGGGCAGAACCCCGCTGCGTTCCCTGCCTGTGACTTGGGAGACATCCCACAGCGGGTTTCCACCGGATCCCACACCCGTCGATGGACGCGGGGGAGCTCTCCCGGGGCCGGCAGCGTGCTGGAGGCGGGAGCGTGCCGGGCTTTTCCCGGAGCATCGCCCTGTTGTGTCTTTCCTGCATCCTGTGAGAAAACAAACAAATCCCTGGCAGTGATGGCCCCGATGGGGCCCGGCTGCGGCTTCATCCTCACCCAGCGGAAATCCAATTCTCCCATTTTTTTGGCAATGGATTTTTTTTTGGCAGGGGGGTGGATGTCCGGTGGCCGGGGGCAAGTCCCAATACCCCCCATGGCTCTGCCTTCCCTGTTCCCAGCCCCTCAATAGCATCTTTGGAACGGAATTACTGGGTGCGCGTGCAGCTCTTGGCTTATCTCTGGCATGGCCGTCTGGCATGCGCCGGCCGCACTCGGGATGCTTTTACTGAGGGTTTCCTTTCCTGGGATGGGTTTTTCCCAGGATGGGTCCCCCCACCCCCTAGCACCTCCGCACCCACTGGCTTGGGGTTGGAGCCAGGGGGGGTCCGTCCAGGACCCCCAGCTTGGGTACATGTGCTGGGCCATCCTGGCAAGAGAGGGTATTCTGTGCAGATCCCAATGGTTCCCAACTTCTTTGCTAGAAACTCCCCCAAATTTCACTCCCCCTGGCACAGCAGCCCCTCTGGGAGC